TAAACAACCTTTTACACCAATTCAGTGATTAGTTTTCATTGCAAAAACATGCTTATGAACTCGCCAGCATTATGTTGATACGCTTTCAAAATCGTTTGTATTCTCAAGACAATAGTAGACACCCCTTACCAGCTTTTGGAGAAGACGGAGAATTTTGGAGTCTCGTCTTTATCTTTTGCTATTTTTGATGTACATGAACTTCATATATAACAGATGTAAATACTCATATTATAATGTAATGGTTGTGTTTACTTTGATTATTATGATGCAATTGTTTGTATACTACTTTTGATGTCATCCACCCCCGAACGTTTCCGCCGTTTGTTTTTACGATTCGTGGGTGTGACGGGTTCGATCCTTGCTACCCCCAAAAAAATGTGAATATTCACTGCTACCAAGAATTTTTACACGAGCCGACCGATAATGTGAGCCGAACACGTGGACCGAGCACGCGGGGCTGTAGGCCAAACACGTGTGCAACTTCGCACCCGAAAACTAATTTCGACTGTAAACGGCTTCGGACCGCACATGAGATTTCGGCCGTAAACTGCTGAGCCGCAAACGAGATTTCAGTCGTAAACTTTTGAGCCACAAATCGTTTCCGGCCGCAAACCCCTTGTAGATTAGAAACAAAAACAATGTTTTTCACCTTTTTAGCTCCAAAACTCGATCAAAAACTCATTTTTATGAAAAACTTGAAGAACAAACCCCCAATATTTTTAAAAAACTATCCAAAAACAAAAAGTCCTTCAAGAAAAAGTGCAAAAATGATCCAAATCTTGCCAAAATAATTGATACAATCCAAGCTCTGATACCAATTGTAAGTCCCAAAATTTTCTTGATGTATCAATCAGATCCACTTGATGGTGCAGAATCCCAATCAAGTGGATGATGCAAGATCAAACATGGAAGAAGAAGGAGAAGAAGAAGATGATGATGATGAATCTATGATGTATTCAATAATAATATGAATGATGCTCCATACATATGAGATTCTCACACACATACACTCGTCTTCTCTATTACTTTCTCTCTTTAGAACACCTTGATTTACACACACTTAGCACCTACTCTTGTGTTCTACCCACTATGCCTGCACCCACTCCTCACATCTTACTTATATATATATATATATATATATATATATATATATATATATATATATATATATATATATATATATATGGACCGCAAACCCAATGCTAGACCGAAAACACATGGGTTTTTGGTCCAAGCTACAATTAAACCAGATATTATTTTCGTCCCAAGACTAAAAACTTGGAAAAGCAAAGTATAAATCATATTTTTGATCCAACAGAATTTATGTCAAAGGATAAAAACTTCATTAAGGAAATTAAATACTTAAGAACTGAGTTCCAACAAACCCTCCAAAATCAAGCAAGCAATTCTAAACAACGTGTTGAGGAAACCCACACTGCATATGAATCGGGGTTTGTAGTTTTGCAAGTCACCATCAAAGGTTTAAGAAGATCTCTGACAGTAAATCAAAGTGTTGATGAAATTCTCCGCCTTACAAAGGAGATTTATCAACTTCTCTTCAACTCATAGATCCCTAACAACCAACAAGTATGTGATCAAATGAAAACCTAGTCCAATAAACGTATCAAAAGGTTGATGGGTTAAAACAATGGTTTGAGGAGCAACTGGAGCCTGCTTCCTCAAAAGGGGGAAGTGAAAGTGATCCAAACCAAGAACAAGAAAACAGTGAACAAGAAACTTCCAAGTCCAAAATGTCATCTGTTTATCATTCTTAAACTCGTCCACAGGATTAACCTCCTACCATAGAGCTCCACAAAGAACCAACTCCTCGGTCCTCACCACAAAAGTCTCCTCAAAATTCCCCACAAAGGTCTCCACAGAAGTTAATTTCTCATGACTCTCCACATCATTCTGATGATACTCCGGCCACAACCCAAAAGAAATGAGACTAGAGAGCTGCTAAGTTTCGTAAGTAATTTGGAAAGAACCAGGGTTCAATACTTCATTTGACGAAACCCTAATAAACTCATGGTTGAATCCAACCCGTAGACTTCTGGATGCTAATTACACTCCTCATCTAACGTACGTAGAACCACCATCAGGTGGCTATTGGGACATCCCCATTTCTCCAAACTCAAAGTTATTTCTAGTATTTCAGCCTCTTGATCTCAATCTCCCGGATGATAGAAGACTCCCAATGGGGTTCGAACGCTTAAATCTTCTCCACGCCAAGCATGGGTCCAAATTTGCGCATATCTGGTCCAATGATAGACCAGATGTGGTGAAGAATTACAAAGTTAGAAAATTCATGAAAGTGAATTTTTTTCAATACACCCTGACCAGAAGAAATAATGAGTATGTCAGAACCCAAGCAGATTTTGTGAGTATGAACCCCCAAAGAGATATTTTTGATAGCTTGGGTGTTTCAGCTTAAAGCTGAAAAATATCCCAAAATGAAGATTGCCTTTGAAAGGGCTTGTGAATTCTAAAGGCTTTGCTTTGTGATTTCGGAAAAATCGATGCTGAAATATATCCAATCATTGCCAACAAATTCAATTTTCCTCCATTCAAGCTTGCGCCAGACTACACTGAAGGATTCTAAGTATTGTAAACGAACTGAACGTTCGGCGAACCGTTTGTGAACTGTTCGGTGGGAAGTTCGTTTATGTTCGTTTATTTAATAAATGAACGAACATGAACAAAAATTATCGTTCGTTTAGTTAAATGAACGAACATGAGCAATGGTCTCGTTCGTTCATTTATGTTCGTGAACGTTCGTTTATGTTCGTTCGTTTAACTTTATTTATATTCATCTATATTCAATTATTTTTTATTATATTGCTATATTATATGTTCGTTTATGTTCATATATGTTCAATTGTGTTTTTTTTTTATCTTTGTTCGTTTATGTTTGTTCATTTATGTTCGTTTAGCATGTTCACGAACATAAATGAACGAACATGAACAAAGTAATTTGTTAAACGAACGAACATGAACAAGAAAATCTCGTTCGTTTATCCATTCGTGTTCGTTTGTTATTCGGCTAACTTAAACGAACGAACACGAACAAGACCTTGTTCGTGTTCGTTTGGTTCGTTTACAGCCCTAATTCCAAGACATGTCCCCTGGAGCAACAAGTTACCCGGAGCTAGGGGTTGTTTACAAGAAAGCTATAGACGGTCCCAAGTACTTCATTTCTGCATCCGCAATTCATAGACTAACGAAGAAGCAACTGGATGTCACATTGGCTTCGGTGCAAAGATCGAAGCACACAACTGATGAAGTCAAGTTTGAAATTTCAAGAAGAATCCAGTGGCTGTTTGAAGTGAGAAAATTTTAGTGGATTATCATCAGCTTCCTTAAAATGCATAGATGAAGAAAATAGTTGAGAGGTCACTTTGGAGAAAATTGTTGAAACAAAAAGTGACCCTTTTTCAGCTAAGGAACCGCATACCTGAAGCTTTGGTGATACCGTAGAGAAGATTTAAACTTGAGATTGCTTTTGTCATTTGTCAATTGTAGACTTGAAGCCAACCGCAGAGATGGACGATGCATGAATACTTTTATGTTACTTTAACTGACATTAGTTGTTTACTTTGTATTATTCAATGAACCTTTCATGGTTACCGTAGTCAATAGTTTAATATTTGTTTAATCCTCAATGTAACTTCCAGGACTCTATAGATAGAGCTTCCCTCTTCATGTATTCAACACCGCTTCCTGAACTCTTATTGCAATACAAAGATCATTCATTTCTATCTCTATTATCTTTTGATAAACCGAGTCCTTCTTCACTTTAAGTTGGTCACATTTACTAACTTGTGTTTGAATGCAAACCTCGTTATGAATCAACTTGTGTCTCCTTGATATAACTTGTTATTTATTTTCTTTATATTTTCGCATCTAACTCTTCTAAATTATTATTGTTGAGCTAACAAGATCCTTTGAGATTAACTTATTATTACGTATTATATTATCTTGTGACTAACGTTTGTTCAAGGTTTTCTCTCAACACATTTCCATTTGACTGTTGAAGTGTGTTAGGACGCAAGTCCAAAATGTCTTCTTGGATTGCGTTGCCCATCTTCTCATCTACAAATATAGAAATTCAAACTCTTGGTAACGTCGTTTCTTCATCTGCAATATAATTTCTACCACCTTTTATCATTTTGTTTGTTTTTTCTTCTAAATGATTGTGATTAAGTTTCTTGTACCATTTAATCATCAATGTCATGGGGAGGTTGTGGTTGATAAGGTTGAGGTTGTGGAGGTTGTTGATCTTGTGAAGATTGAAATTATTAGATTTGTTGGAATTTGTGGAATTGATTTGGTGTTTGGTAAGGGTTGGTTCGTGGAAGTAATTTTGTTTGAATGGTTGTTAGAAAATAGATGGTTGTTGAGTATGTTAGGATTGTAGCATGTTAATGAACCATCTGATTCGCAATGTGGGTATTGAGGAGTTGTGTAAAAGACGTATGAGCCAATGGGGTGAATCGAAAGTGGATGTGTTTGAGCTATGTGAAGTATTTAGGATGTCGATCTATTTTTTGAGGTTTGGTGAATAAGAAATAGTTGGTAGATTGAAAAAAGGAATTTTTAGTTGTAATGTGAAAATGTATATAATATAGGTCAGTAAAATTGGTTATTTAAAAATGTTAAAAAAGATCAAACAGACACAAGACTGTCAATCTCTCTCTCTCTCCGTCATCGTCCATAGCCATTTTAATACCTTCTTTTAATAGGCCATTTTAATGTTAAGAGATTTAAAATACCAAAAAAGAATTAATACCCAAATAAAATCAAAACAAATAGTTTGTTGGTCTACAATAATATAAGATCACTATTTTGTAAATGATTATTTTATAAGTTTGTAAAACTCATCAAATACCTACACCACTCGATATTTGGTCATTTTAGTGACTAGTCCAATTTTTCACCAATTCTCGATTAGTTTTACATTTCTTTTCATTTTGATTCGTTATTGCGTGGTTTTTCATACCTCATGTAGAGAAAATTCGACCTACAAGAAATACTACAATTATTGTATTACATTCATTCATACAAAGCTCAAGTAATATGAAAGTCCACACACACACACAAACCAACAAACATACATATATGGTGAAAATGAAATAGAAGGATTATTTATTTGTTTGTTGACATATGCATGATGAACAATAATGATGATAATCTTCAACCTTTCTTGGGCATGGCTGCAAGCCTAGTATACATCTTAGCCATCGACTGGAATCCTCTAACATCACCCGATCGAAGAAGATTCCCTGAAATAAAAAAATCAAATATGATAATATATTTAGGGGTATAAAGGTAAATCCAATAAAATCAAAGAAAGAAAGTAAACCTGAATCACAATTGAGTGGACTATCCGGTTCTGGATGGGCCATTAAAGCAATTATTGCCCTACAAACAGATTGGAGTGTCCATGCTGGACTCCAAGCATTCTTCAGAATATCCAGGCAAATCTCTCCTGTCTAAAACACAATACAATCATAAATCATAATAAGTAAATCATTGCATTTTAGAAAAAAAAAAAAAAAAAAAAACATATGAAAGAGAAAATCCATACCTTAAAATGAACATTTGGGTGAAATATTTTAGTTAAAAACCTCACTTGGGGAGGCTGCAAAGGATATTGCTCAGGAACAGAAAACGCAAGTTGAAAAACTCCACCCTCGTAAGGAGTTTCTGATGGTCCCTGCATAAAAAATAAAAAATAAAAAAAAAATTTATTTATTAGCGTATAAATTTTCTTCTTTTTATCATTAAAACCAAATGAAGCATTGCATTTACATTCTTTTAACCATAAGAGCAACATACATGTCATTCTAATGTAAGTATGTTGCTATTATGGCTAATAAACATATAGGGGTGTGTGTGTGTGTGTGTGTGTGTGTTTTCCATGAATGTTAAACATACCTTGATAAGTGCAGTCCATTTAAATATATTGGAATCATCACAAACAAGTTGGATATCTGGATCAGCTACTTTCTCCCTTTGCACCTCCTTGTATTCCTTAAAAAGTCTTGCTCTTGATGCCTGAATATATATAAAAAGGTTATATTACTTGTTACTTTGCAAAAAATAAAACTGGCTTTGAAATTTAAATAGAGCAAACGGCAAAACTAAATTAAATATCTCTATAACTATGTTATCAAAGTATACTATGAATTTTAGCACAAAAAAGAACTAATAAGCACACTAAAAAGACAAAAGCTTTACTGATTGAAGGTGTAATATAAGAGCACCAAAACAGGAATTGAAATTATTCACAAATAGAAAGATAATTTATCCGCTTAACTACAAAAGAGCTAACCTGCATGTTCTTGTATTGTATTATTTATTCCAAACCTCTGCAAATTTACAAGGAGACACCATTAATTGCTAAAACGAAAAAGCCATCTAGAAATTCAATGAACACAAGCAAAGCATTCAATAAGATATACATTAAGTCGAAAAACTTATAAGGACATGAAAATTTGGGAATTTTTGGGGGAAAATTAGAACCCTAGAAGAAAACCCCAAAACGGATTGCTAGAATCTAAATACCTTTTTCTTGTGCACCTGAGAGAAACGAAAGAGGGGAAAATAGGTTATTGATACGATGTGCAATGTTATCTATGTTGAAAGCCCCCTTTTTTTTAAAGAATTTGAGGTAAGACCTTTGAGATTTCACCTTTACCACATTTATACGTTCCCACCATTCAATACAGGCAAAATCATTTCGCAGAAAATAGGTTCCACCATTAAAACACGATATTAAACAACAAAATCGTACAACAAACCTAATCCAGCAAAAATCGAAAGAAGCACACCATTTGGCAAAAAATAAGAAAACAGAGAAGAGAGATCGTGATTGTGATCGTGATCGTGTTCGTGTTCGAGATCAAGATTATGAGAACAGAGACGATGAGTACCTGAGATTGTCCGAGGATATGAGACGGCGAGAAGGTGATGTAACGACCTAGGACGACGGCGCCGATACGATGGGACGGTGATCTAAGATGGAGGAGATGACACGATGAAGAATATGAGACGATCAATCCATCAAGTGAAAAACAGAAGAGAGGGTTAAAGAAGAGTTATGGCAGTAAAAAGTAGTCCGAATACATAAACCTTCGAGAACATCATAGGCCAAAATGAAAAACAAACATTTTTATTTTATGTTTTTTTATAAGGAATATGACTTATTAAGGTAATTAATTTTTTGGTATGTTCGCATCTAGGTAATTATCTTTTTTTTTGTACACATCTAGGTAACAAACTTGTTAGAATTGTTCACATATGATCATTATAATCTGCTATAACAGGTTAAATCCTAGATGTGAACGTTTTCAACAAGTTCGTTATCTAGATGTGTAAAAAAAAATAGTTACGCAAATATAAACAAAACAAAAAGTAAAAATTAAATTACACAAATGGTCCCTGTGGTTTGGGGAATTCTTTTTTTGGTCTCTAACTTATTTTTTTTAACTTGGATGGTTCATACTGTTTATTTTTGTTACGCGTTTGATCTTGTGTTACCTAAAAAGGCTATTGTATCATTATTAATTTATTTTTTAATTAATTTTCTTATTTATGTATTTATTTTATACATATTTAAAAAAATTAATAGACCACACATATTAGTCTGGTCTATTAATTTTTTTAAATATCTAAAAAATAAATACATAGATAAGAAAATTAATTATTAAAAAATTAATAAGGGCACAATAATCTTTTTAGGTAACACAGGATCAAACGCGCAACAAAAATAAACACTAAGGACCATCCAAGTTAAAAAAAAATAAGTTAGAGACCAAAAAAAAGAATTCCCCCAAACCACAGGAACCATTCGTGTAATTTAATTTTTACTTTTTGTTTTGTTCATATTTGGGTAACTATTTTTTTTGTACATATTTAAGTAACGAACTTGTTGAAAACATTCACATCTAGCATTTAACCTGCTATAATAGGTCATAATGGTCATATGTGAACACTTCCAACAAATTTGTTACCTAAATGTGTACAAAAAGAAAGATAGTTACCCAGATGTAAACATACCGAAAAGTAAATTTCCTTAATAAGTCTTATTCCTTTTTTTGTATATATATAAAAGTTCTTAGTGGATCCACTATAAAAAATTTCTTCATGCGAGTATGTAAAAAAGATAAAATAATTTAGAAAAGCATGAAAACATATATAAAACAATAAAGATGTAAAAAAAATTGTAAGCTTTATAATAAACAAAGTAAAGTAAAGATTTGGCTAAAATAGTTAAAATAAAATAAAAATAAATAAAAACATAACTGGTGTTAGAAGGATCTTCATAGTCATAGCAATTATGTAAATGGCAAGGTTGTTTTAGGTTACATGTAAAATATGTTTTAAGTATAATCTTTCTATCTCTTCTAATAAAATAGTCGAAATTTTTTTGCTTGTCATTTTCTAATAATTTTTTTTCTACTATCTCTTTTAATAAAATAGCCCAAATTTTTTTCTTGTCATTTTCTAATAATTTTTTTCTACTCTCAAAAAATACACATGTAATTTTTTTTATTAGTTTATTAGATTTAAATAAAATTATGTTTACTAGTATCATGGCAACAAATATATAAGTTTCTTTAAATCAATATTATTAGTTCAATACACATAAATTATATCTTAAAAACTAGCAAGAAATTCAGAAAATCTTCTATATGTTTATTTGTTCCCTCTTTAATCAGGACTATATCTTCTCCAATTTCTACTATGGCTTTTGGAAACCAAATCAAAGATTCATTTTGATACCGCTTATTGATCAATTTTTCCTCTTTTATCAGTGCGGAAGAAGATGTTGGTGATTTAATATCATCAATATTGTTTAAGTGTAATAGGATTAAACATGTTGACCAAAAATGATCTGTTGAATATTGGACAAGTTAGGATGGTCTAAGAGTACACACTTGTTCAAGTTTTTCAAGATTCAAAGTACACTGTTATTTAGGGGCGAAGCCCCTCAACAAACTGTAACATCCAAAAATGCGATCCAAAAATTTTTGTTTAAATAATACTTAAAATCATATGCTGGCTGATATATCATAAAACCATACGTCCAATATCTCAAAACATAATATAAAATGTCGTGAATAAACTGTATCAAAACTGCGTCATATCCAAACTAAGAATCTGAACAAACTCCTAGGATAAAAAACTGAAGTTGTGGTGTGCGATGTCATCATCCCGAGCTCTTCCCTTTACTTGCGGAAGTACCTGAAACCAAAACTGAAACTATAAACACAAAGCTCAGTGAGCTCCCCCAAACTACCACATACCATACAAACATATAAACAACTACGGGGCCCCACCCACTGCATCAGACCGAAGTCTGGAAACTACATCGGACCGAAGTCCGAAAACTACATCGGACCGAAGTCCGAAACTAACCAGGGCCATGCCCTCTTCATCGGACTGAAGTCCGGAACTAACTGCATCGGACCGAAGCCCGGAACTAACTGCATCAGACCGAAGCCCGGAACTAACTGCATCGGACCAAAGTCCGGAACTAACTGCATCGGACCGAATTCCGGAACTACTGAACACAGCATAGCATACACATATCAACTAGCATAACAACATAGACTGCATACTGAGTCGGACCGTACCCGAAACACATAACACGCAAAACCTATCTGAGCCACGAAGGCATCAAACATACTAACTACTGCATCAGACCAAAGTCCGGAAACTGTTGTTAACTAAACAGGCCGGCATTGTGGCCTTAGACCCGTTCCTAATGGAAGGAAACTCACCTCTTACGCTGGCTGGTAAATGAACTGCTCTGAAAACTGTATGTTGCTGCTCTGGTATCTCCCCGGCTCAAATGACTCTGAAATGGATGCAAGATCTTGTTTCCCTTCTTCTCCTTTGGATCTAGCCTTCATCTTCTCTTCCAATCTTCACTCAGAATTGAGGACGTTACAACTATCCCCCACTTGTCTCAGACTTCGTCCTCGAAGTTTGTTGCTGCTGCTGCATCTGCGAACAACTCTAGGTAATGCTCCCTCATTTCCTCCTCTGCTCCCACGTCCACTCATACCTTTTCCGATGCTGCCACTGCACCTTCACCAACTGAACCACCTTGTTCCTCAAGGTGTTCGTCTTCCGATCCATAATCGCTATGGGTCTCTCAATATAATTCAGGTTGCTATCAACCTGAATGTCCTCCAAGGGTACTACTGCTGTCTCATCCACCAAGCACTTCCTCAACTGAGAAACATGGAAACTGTTGTGGATCTGGCTGAGCTCTGCCGGAAGATCCAACCGATAAGCAACCCGACCCACCCGGGCCAAAACCCTGAAAGGACCGATGAACCTGCGGCCCAGCTTGCCCCTCTTCCGAAACCTGATAACACCCTTCCAGGGTGATACCTTCAAGAGGACCATATCGCCCACCTGGAACTCCAAGTCTTAACGCCTCCTATCGGCGTAACTCTTATATCGAGTCTGCGAGTCTGCAGTCTGCTAAGAACCTGCTAGATCAACTCTGATGTCTTGAGCACCACTTCGGTGCTTCCAATGACTCGCTGACCGACCTCGCCTCAACAAATCGGGGTCCTGCACTTCCTCCCATAGATCATCTCAAAAGAAGGTCGATCAATACTCGCATAGTAACTGCTGTTATACGAAAATTTCGTTAACGGAAGATACGTATCCCAACTACCACCGAAGTCTAGAACACATGCCCGCAGCATGTCCTCGAGAGTCTGAATCGTTCTCTCGCTCTCCCCGTCCGTCTGAGGATGGAAAGCGGTGCTAAAATGGAAACGAGTACCCATCTCGTTGTGAAACCACTTCCAGAATCTGGAAGTAAAACAGACATCTCGGTCTGACACCACTGAAATAGGCACTCCATGCCGTGCCACCACCTCTCTCACATAAATATCGGCTAGCTTCTCGGCCGATATACTCTCCTGGATCGGTATAAAATGAGCACTCTTTGTCAACCGATCCACTATAACCCTTATAGAATCCACTCCACGCATAGTCTTGGGAAGCTTAGTGATGAAATCTATGGTGATATCCTCCCATTTCCACACTGGAATGTCTAGCGGCTGCATCTTGTCATGGGGCCTCTGGTGCTCTGCCTCGACCTTCCTGCAGATCATGCATCTTTCTACGTACCAGGTGACATCCCGCTTCATGAAGGGCCACCAATAGTCGGGTCGAAGATCTCTATACATCTTCGTTGCCCCTGGATGGATGGAAAATTGAGACTTATGAGCCTCATCCATTAACACTTGTCGTACTCCGCCCCAGTACGGCACCCAAACTCTCCCATGAAGGGTCAACAATCCTCTACTATAATAGTCAAAAGAAGCTACTCAGCCCACGATCCTCTCACACTTTTACCTCTCCTACTTGAGGCCCTCTACCTGTGCCTCCTTGATTTGCTCCAATAATAGAGTAATCACCGTCATCCTTAAACAAATGTCTCTGATCGGGGCCGCTACTGCCTTGCGGCTCAGGGCGTCGGCCACTACGTTGGACTTCCCTGGTGATAAAGGATCTCACAGTCATAATCCTTCAACACATCTAACCATCGCCTCTACCTCATGTTCAGATTCGACTGATCCATGAGGTACCTCAAGCTCTTGTGATCCATGTAAATGGTACACCGGACCCCATAGAGGTAATGTCTCCAGATCTGGAGGGCAAACACCACTGCCCCCAGCTTTAAATCATGCGTAGGATAGTTAGCCTCGTGAGGCTTCAACTGTCTCGAGGCGTAAGCTATCACACGGCCTCGCTGCATCAACACTGCTCCGATACCTATGATCAAGGCATCATAGTAGACTACGAAATCCTCTACTCCCTCTGGGAGGGTAAGGATCGGTTCCTCGGATAGTCTCTGCCTGAGGGTCTCAAACGCTACATGCTGCTCAGGCCCCCAACGAAACGCCACCGACTTCTTGGTCAGTCGGGTGAGCGGTACTGCTATCTTGGAGAAATCATGGATGAATCTCCTGTAATACCCTACCAAACCTAGGAAGCTTTGAATCTCGGATGGAGACTTCGGGACTTCCCACTGCATCACGGCCTCTATCTTGGCCAGATCTACCAAAATACCCTTCTGGTTGATGAGGTGACCAAGGAACTATACCTCACTCA